CAAACTCTGACGGAGACTGGTTAGCCAGGATGACCTGACCCTGGAAAAGGCGCTCAGGGAGTCCGCGGCCTACGAGAAGGTGCACCAAGACCGCTGCGGGCAGGCGGTCCATCGCACACAAGCAACGCTCGAGTCGGACGACTCCGAGAATGGGGACGAGGTGCACCAGGTCCATCGTCGGTCATCTCAGCCGGTCACCAAAGCGGGCAAAGCTCCTTCAACAGCCCCTGCCTCATGCGGCAGCTGTAGAGAAGACCACGAGCGCTGGTCGTGCCATTTCCGAAACACGGTCTGCCGGACCTGCAACAAATTGGGGCACATTTTCCGGGTTTGCCGCTCCAAGGGGCAACACCGGAAGCTGTCCGCCCACCAGACCACGCCGGAGCCGCCCAGCGACCCCATCGACCTCCACTCCATATCGGCCCACTTCCTACAACACCAGGTCTGTAACTTGCCCCCCGATGGCCCCAACAAGATGCATGTCATGGTTCTTATAGAGGGATCCCCCTGCAGCATGGAGATCGACACAGGGTCGACCCTACTCCATTATCTCCGCGGATATGCTCCGCATGCTGTGTCCGAAGTGGGGCCCGTCCCTTCAGAAGCCGCGGGGTTTCTGGTTAAGGGACTTCAATAAGAACCCCATGGTGGTGCTGGGCTGGGGCAAGTTCCGGGTACAGTTCCAAGAGTTTAACGGCACCCTTGACCTGTTGGTGGTGGATAGGCCTCTCTCAAGCCTGCTGGGACTCTCTTCGTTCGAGGCCCTGGGACTCTCTCTGAATGGAATCCACCGGGTCGGGTCACGAGATTTTGGCGTGTGTGCACAGAATTTCCCCGTGTTTTTGATGGCACCCTGGGACGCTTCTCTGGGCCCCCCATCTCCCTGGATCTCGACCCAGTGGTGCGGCCCATCCACATCAAGGCCAGGCTGCCGCCACTAGCAATGAAGCCGAAAATCGAGGCCGAGCTAGATCGCTTAGTGGAACAAGGAGTTCTGGAACCGGTCGTGTCGGCACGGTGGGAGACCCCCATAGTTACCCCAGTGAAGTCCAATGGGGATGTGCGCATTTGTGCGGATTACAAATGCACGCTAAACAAGGCTCTGCAGGCACACGTGCTGGCGGCTTTGGTGGGGGCCCGGGTCTTTGGCAAGTTGGACTTGGCAAAGGCATATCAACAACTGCCAGTTGATGCTGCCACGGCCAAAGCCCAAACAACCCACAGGGGGGCGTTCAAGGTTCACTGCCTCCAGTTTGGAGTCTCGGTCGTGCCAGGGTTTTTTCAATCTTTTATGGATTTTCTCCTGAAAGGCATCCCCGGGGTTCAGCCATTTCTAGACGACATGCTGATCGCGGCTCCAGATGACTCGTCCTTCGTGGACCATCTGAGGGCCGTTCTACAATGTTTCAATGCAGCTGGGCTCAAAGAAGCGGGAGAAGTGCCTCTTGGGGGTGCCTCGCGTTGAGTTCCTGTGCTTCGTGGTTGACGCTTTAGGCATCCACTCCACCGCGGACAAGGTGACCGCCATCACGCAAGTGCCGCCTCCAGCGTCCAAGTCCAAACCGCAGGTCTTTTTGGGACTCCTGAACTTCTACCACTCCTTTTTGCCCCTCAAAGCTGCAGTCGCAGAACCACTCCATCACATCCTGGACAAGTCGGCACCTTGGATCTGGGGTCCGCCACAAGCAGCTGCGTTCCAGGCGGTCAAAGACCTGCTTGTCTCGAATGCGGTCCTGGCGTATTTCAACAAGGCGCTCCCAGTGGTGCTGGCCTGTGACGCTTCCCCTTACGGGGTGGGAGCAGTCCTGGTCCACCGGCTTATGGACAGCCGCGAGGTCCCGATTGCGTACTATTCCAGGACTCTGTCAGCTGCTGAGCACAATTATGCGATCAATAAGGAGGCGCTGGCGATTGTGCCGGGGGTGAAAACGTTTCACCACTATCTGTACGGGCAGCCCTTCACGGTTCTCATGGACCACAAGCTGCTGCTGGGCCTCCTGGCCCCAGACCCCTCAGATAATTTCACCCCGGGTGCTCCGCTGGTCTATTTTTTGCTGGGCCTCCTGGCCCCAGACTGCCAGACCCCCCAGATGATTTCACCCCGGGTGCTCCGCTGGTCTATTTTCCTGGCGGGGTACTCCTACGGTCTCGTCCATCACCCTGGCAAGGCAATGGGCCATGGAGACGCCCTGAGCCACCTACTGCTGCCGGTCTGTGACCCGGCTCCGGCTCCCGCCCACCATATCGCTCTACTGGAGTCCCTTCCGGATCGGCCGGTCCACATTGCG